ATTTCCTCGACCATACATTATAAAGAGAATATACAGTATCCTTGACCCAAGCGCCTATGATTTGGCCTTCTAATTTGCAACGGACTTAGACAGATTTTTTTTTATTTCTTTAAAAAAAAATACTTTAAAACAAATTACTTACCACGACACAGCTGTGTTTATTAAATGTGCTTCAATGATTTGCTGAAGGATTTCCTCTGACAAAAGCCAACCTCGTATACACTTTTCGTCTCTGTTTTCTTATTTAAACCCTGCTACTGATTCTGTCATGTAAGATATTATACATCGACTTCTCACTTTCAAATGAATGATAAGCAAGTCGATATGCGATAGAGCGGCTGCAATATTGAAAAGCGAAAGTAGAAATGACGTATGCACTTTTTGTGTACTTGACTTCACGGGCTTCCGGTTGTTTCAGATCACGGGCTTATAGATTTTCCCGTTTATAAACACAGTGAAAACACGTGGATTTGAGGGTAGCCCTGTTTGCAGATGGAAAAAGTCCGAAAATGCCGTGTGGGTACCCTGTTTTTTGGTGTCAGCTAATGTGACAGGTAATGTTTAACACCTTCTGCTACATATTTTTTCATGTAAACAAATACCTGATTTTTAACGATTTTTTATTCTATATAGAATTATATAGTGAAAACAATTACCGGTGTGATACCTTGAAGGTGATTATGAAAAATCATTTAAACCCTTATTAAAGACATTTTTCATTTTTAAAAGGCATATTTCAACAAAATATGTGAATTTATCAACTTTTTGTTTGAAAACACACAATTTTAAAATTAGAATTAGAATTTACATTATTTTTCACAGATTTCTGTTTAAAATTTAACAATAGGTTATATTTTACACTCAATACTTTAAAATATGACTAAAAAGGTAGCATTATGCTTCTAAAATTTGGAAAGACGTCAGAGAATATTGTTTTTTCATTTTATATGACTTAACATTATTTGCACCAGCTGACCGCAGTCAATTATAGTGTCTACAGACTTTGCGGTAAAGGGTGTTAAAGCTGATTTTTCAAGAATAGACTAATTCTAGGTTTACGAATGAATTTTTAGCACAAGCGACAACTGCGATAAAATGTAAACAAGTAAAAATGTTTTCCCGAAATGATAATTTCTACAGACACATGACTTATTTTGATTTATTCAGACCTCCAGTGAAACATACATGACTGCATTGGAAGAACAGAAATAATGAAATGAGTCAGATCTGTCTAATAAATTTAATACATAAGCTACATAAGTAAAATTCATTAAGAATTTTTCACAGTAAGGAAGGTTATGACCAAAAAATCCTGAAATACTGTCAAGGTCTGCATGATAATACTTATTCTGAGTTCTAACCATGCATCATACATGTAGTGTAGAATGTCACTTAGCACCATGGCATGCCTTTTGTGGTTCTTTGGACTTTATTTATGCTTGCGCAGCTGACATTCATGTTTTTTCAGTTTGTCGGAGACTGTTTTTTGTTATTTTTTCATTTATATGTAGGTGTTGACTGTCACTTTTGAATTAAGTCTCAGTCAGTGATGCTTATATGAGCATGATCTATTAAGTATATCATTGTACTGAAATATTTATAAATTCCAAATTTAACAGATGAAGAAATTTGGCATATTTACATAATTGAAATATCAGAATAACTATAACTCAGCTAATAAGGTGCACATTTCTTCTCAGATCACTTCCTATAAATTTTATCAGCAGATTTTGTACACCCACCCACCTCAAAGAATCATGGAGGATGTCTTGAATTTGGTCTCTGTGATGCATTTTGTCTCATAAAAAAGTGTTCAAACTCATTAAAATGTTTTATATTTCTATTTTATAATTTAAATGTTTATTTTTTTTATGTAAATTTGTTGAAACAGAAAGATATGAGCTTGCATAAATCATGGGAATTCATTGAACACCTTTGGAATTCCTGAATAAATCCATGAAAAGAGAATAATTATGCATGGAAAATTGAAATTTCATGGCTAATTTGTGTCTTAAGAGAAAGCCAGTTGCATAAATCACAACAATAAATTACATCTGAATTGTTGTCTCCAGTTTCTTATCATCAAAGCCAGTTTAATGGAGTGTGGGAGCTGTGAAGAACCTTCCTAGATGCTGATATCATTTTGACTGCCCTGAGTTACAACACAGCATTTAGATAAACTTCTGCACAGCAGCTTGTAGACACATACCTAGGCTTTATTTGGAACATAAATTGACCAGATACAGTGTTCATTATCAACCCAGTATTTAACAATTTCTGTATTTTTGTTCATTCTTTGAAGGGGAAAATGCTACTTTGTTATGTAATAATTACATAATGGTCTTAGACTTGTAAACTCTTTTCTGTGTGTGGTGAAGAACAAAACATATACTCTCCATGGATAAAAAATTGGTTGCCAAGCTTATTCTTTTAATGATGAAATTCTGCTTCAAAAGATGCACAAAAAACTGCTTCCAGAGTGCTGTGTGTGTTGGTCTTGACTGCTCTGGAGTAAGGGAGATAAATGCTTCATACCTTCAGAAATAAGGGGATTTAGATCACCAGACTTAGGGATGTTGGGGACAATTATTTAATGAATCTCAGGTGCAAAAATGGAAAAAATCGAACACCTTCAAAGGTCCTTTTAGCTAACTGTACCCCAACCGGAACCAGCTCAAAAGATAGTCAAGCGCATTCACAATAAAACACAAAAATGCGTTGCAATACACTTACAATTCAGGGATTAGCGTAGGATTCTGTGCCAAATTTTTTGCTGTAATTGATAGCGTCAACAAAGCGAGAATGATCCAGCGCTGACTGGTCAGTTACAGACAGCATCAAAACACGTGATTATAATGGACAACTCTGATTGGCTGCTTGTCTGCGAAGGGGTCTGGTTTGACCATGGAAAATTTTGGAGTTGCGTAACAAGCAGCCGAAAAAGAAAAACGGGGGAAAATTACATAACATGGAACCCGACACTTGAAAGGCCTGGGAGAATTCCAGCAAATGGAGAAAATCAAAACATTGAGTTTGAACAACAAAATAGAACATCTAATTACTTACATTTAGACAAAAGAAATTAAAAAAACAGCATTCAACACATAAATGAAATTATTTACATAATTGTTGTTTGACGACAAATTAAAACACGTTTTAGCCTTTTGAACTTCTTTTCGTGTTATGGCGTTTTGAGTGCCATAGATTTCATAACATTTTACTCAAAACAAATGTGTTATGTAAATATTACATTATTATTCATACATAGCACAGTTAATGTTAGAAAAAGGGGACAGAGCCTAATTTGTATGGGAAAGCTTAACTATGAAATCCTCCAAAAACCAACAAATGTTAGAAATACCACAAAATGAGGTGATTTGCTAATTTAACCTGTGGGAAACCATCAAATTATATTATAATTTACTACAGCATGCTGATTTGCCGATAGTTAAATGCCACATAACAAGTTATAAACAAGTCACTGATTGCAATCCACTTGGCGATGTGACGTCAATTCGTAAAACGTGCTGCAGTTTATATGCAGTTAGAAGCAGATCAAGTAATATTTTCTCGACAAAAATATATTCTATAATTGATTAAAATTTTATTTACAGTTTTTCTCTAGGTCATTAACCTGGATTCAATGTATTTTTCACGATTTTATTGATATATTTATTGTATATTTCGTATTTGTTTGATACTGCCGTATATTTGTATGCAAGTACATCGGGGGTACTGTGGAGGTCTTTATAAATCGATCTAGTGCAAGGACATACATTCAGTGGATCATAGAAAACTTTTACAAATCAATTCTAGAAATATCAAGGTATCTAAAAAGCGCTGTGTTCCTGATGAAATCTTGAAAATAATTTAAGTATATCAATATTTTATGCCATTGACCAGCAAAATATACAGCATTCGGTCATAGGATCGCAACACTTTTCAAAATCTCCAATACTTGTTGAAAATATTAATAAACTTAAGTTAGAATTTTACCTTGGTTATGCCCTTACACTAGTGAAATTTATAGGTAACCTCAATACTGCAAGTAAATGTGCTTAAATCAAGTGACTGCCACATCACATGAGAAGTCTAAACATAAAATCTATTCGTCCTCAATATATTGTTATTAACCATAATACCAATTATCCGATATGTATATAGTACTAAAAATAACCGCCTTTCCGATTAATTATGAATCCATTTTTAATTACAAAATATTGTCGATATTTCTACGCGCACCTTAACTGTACTGCATATCAAAAAAGTTTTGCAATATTCCTTATAGAGTGTATGAAGGGTTATAATGGCAGTAGCTGTGACCAACCGTGTAACTACCCTACCTATGGAAAGGATTGTCTGTCAACGTGTAATTGTGAGGAAGAGTACTGTAATCATAGCACTGGATGTAAAGGTATGGCATTATCAAAGTGATTGGTAATAATTTTTAGCTCACCTGAGCTGAAAGCTCAAGTGAGCTTTTCTGATCACCCGGTGTCCGTCGTCCGTCCGTCCGTCCGTCCGTCCGTCTGTCCGTCCGTCCGTCCGTCTGTAAACTTTTCACATTTTTAACTTCTTCTCAAGAACCACTGGGCCAATTTTAACCAAACTTGGTACAAAGCATCCTTGGGTAAAGGGGAATTTAAATTGTTAAAATCAAGGGCCAAGACCCCTTCCAAGGGGAGATAATCAAGAAAATACAAAAATAGGGTGGGTTCATTAAAAAATCTTCTTCTCAAGAACCACTGGGCCAGAAAAGCTGAAATTTATGTGGAAGCATCCTGGGGTAGTGTAGATATTAAATTGTTAAAATCGAGAACCCCGAGGGTAGGGTGGGGCCACAATAGGAAATCCAAGTTTACATAGAAATATATAGAACAAATCTTTAAAAATTTTCTTCTCAAGAACCACTGGGACAGGAAGGCTGAAACTTATGTGGGAGCATCCTTGGGTAGTGTAGATATTAAATTGTAAAAAGCATGACCCCCGGGGGTAGGGTGGGGCCACAATAGGGAATCCAAGTTTTACATAGAAATATATAGAACAAATCTTTAAAAATCTTCTTCTTAAGAACCACTGGGCCAGGAAAGCTGAAACTTATGTGGGAGCATCCTTGGGTAGTGTAGATATTAAATTGTTAAAATCATGACCCCCGAGGTTAGGGCGGGGCCACAATAGGGAATCCAAGTTTTACATAGAAATATAGAACAAATCTTTTAAAAATCTTCTTCTCAAGAATCAATTGGCAAGGAAAGCTGAAATTTATGTGGAAGCATCCTTGGGTAGTGTAGATATTAAATTGTTAAAATCATGACCCCCGAGGTTAGGGCGGGGCCACAATAGGGAATCCAAGTTTTACATAGAAATATATAGAACAAATCTTTAACAATCTTCTTCTCAAGAACCACTTGGCCAGGAAAGCTCAAATTTATGTGGGAGTATCCTTGGGTAGTGTAGATATTAAATTGTAAAAACCATGACCCCCGGGGGTAGGGCGGGGCCATTATAGGGAATCCAAGTTTTACATAGAAATTTATTGAACAAATTTTTAAAAATCTTCTTTTCAAGAACTACAAGGCCAGCAAAGCTGAAAATTATGTGGAAGCATCCTTGAGTAGTGAAGATATTAAATTGTTAAAATCATGACCCTCGGGCGTAGGGTGGGGCCACAGTGGGGAATCCAAGTTTTACATAGAAATATATATAGAACAAATCTTTTAAAAAGATTTGCATCACCCAAGTTACTCAGGTGAGCGATGTGGCCCATGGGCCTCTTGTTTTAAAATATCAATTGTATTCCCTTGCAGTTGGTAACTAAACAAAATGATGTATCTATTCTTGTGTTACTTAATAACGAATATCATGTTAATGTTTGGAATTCTTTTTGCGACATCTTCTCATGCATTTAACAGGATTATATTTATAGGTTATAAGATCTTTAATACAATTTAAAACACTCGTTCTCATTAAGTGTCCATATCTCTGCAAATGAAATTTGATTTTTTGAACAGAGCAATTATATTCTTTAAAATGTCATTTCATTCATGAAGATACATGTACATTTAATTTTAGTGAAATTCAATACAATGAAATGCACTTACGGCCAATCCATGCTTCAAGCAACCTTTCTATACTCATTGCAAGAAAAAATAAAAACAAGTCATTGACTGGCTATTTGCCATCAACGCGTTTTTACTCCATCGATGGTATTAACGTTTTCACCAGTGTGATCAGAAGGCTGTCGACCACTAGGAAATCAAAGATATAAAGTGGATCCACAAAGATAGAAGGGGTTAATAGTGGTATAAGTGCCAATGTATACTAATGTCTGCACTGGTTTTTATTTAAATGTTAATAAGTAAATATACGTATTTTTCTCTTAAATAAAAAAAACGTCAGTAATACATATGTTATGTACACAATTTACATTGTCTACGAATTGAGTTTTTATATGCGTCATATTGTTGCATATTATTGATCAAAAATGAAGGTAATTTGTTACTACTTAATAACCTTTGTTTGAATGTTATTGTTTTTTTTACTATTGACTGTTCTTAAGATTTTCCTATATAATTATATCAAAAATATTCTTTTATCGTGTCCATTGTAGGAATCACAAATTATTTGGACTTCTTCTTGGACTTCTGGGTGGTTTGGACTAATTTTTTTTCTCTCTACTTGCAGGAAATAGCATGGATATGGTTTACAAATAATGTTTGTCATGAAGTTTTCAACCAAGTGAGAAAAAGAAGTTCCATTTTTCGTACCTGTTTGTAGTAATAATTCATACCCATTGTTTCTTCATTTTCATTTTCTTTATTTAATAAATTGAAATATATAAAGAGTATAATACTAATTTCAGTTTTAAAAGAAAGAAGGATATGGAGATAACGAACAGTATTCAATCTCAAAGTCCATTAAACAATATACAAAATAAGAGCAGAGCAAACACGGACCTCCGAAACATCAGAGGTGGGATCAGGTGCCATGGAGGAGTGAGCATCCCCTGCCGACCGGTTACACCCGTCGTATGCTCGTTGTCGTGATCAGGAAATAACAGAAAAAATCCGTCGTCAATTCAGTGAATAAATAGTGGACTAACAATTGGTATGAAAAACGTCAGTCAGCATTTGACTCAATGATAAATTGTATTTGCTGCCAAGGTCATTGTATCGACCATAGAACTTACGAAATGATGACTTTAAACGAGACTGTTGATATTCTTGTTTCATCAACTTGCTTGTCAGTAATTTAGCTCGTTTAAGAAATTCTTCATACGTAGAGCATGCTCTTGCGTATCGAATCAACTGAGATATATATACTCCATATGTAGATGATGAAGGTATATTGCTGCATAAGTAAGGGAAGTTGACGATAGAAAAGTTAAAGTCATCACGTTTATCATAAAGCTTGGTTATTAGATTACCATTAGTGTCTTTTTCAAGTAAAATATCCAAGTATGAAGTAGAAGTGCCGGACTCTGTAATATCTTTTATCTCAAGCTCACCAGGATATATCGTATCGACGTATGAATAGAAATTATCATTATTAATTGACAATACGTCGTCGATATACCTAAATGTCGAGTTGAAGGCCACAGCAAGTATTTTTCTTCTTTTCATGTATAAGATTTTGCATAAATTCTGCTTCATATGAATATAAAAATAAGTCTGCTACTAACGGAGCGCAATTTGTACCCATGGGAATTCCAATAGATTGTTGGAATACCTGGTCTCCAAAAACCACATAGATATTGTCAATCAGAAACTCAAGCATCTTCTTGATGTCAACTTCAGAGTACTTATGTGTGCAATCAGAATCTGTTTTAACAAAATAATTTGGCAAATGACCAATGACGAGGTAAGTAAATTTACGAGTTCCATTTTTATTGAAGAAGCAGCTGTCAATGTTATCAAAAAGTCTGGATTTTAATTTGTCGTGGGGAATTGTTGTGTATAAAGTTGAAAAGTCGTAAGTTTTTAAGCTGTTGATTTTTGTAAATTCTTGTGATTTCAAATTGTCCAAAAGTTCTTTAGAATTTTTAAGTATCCACATCTGATTTACACCACTTTTTGAATATGTAGTTGCACAGTACTCTTGAAGTTTTTCCTTCACTACTGTCAATATCTTAGTGAGAAGTAACAAAAGAGGCTTGGTTGAACATTTACTGGAATTTGCTATGTATCTTTGTTTGTAAGGATTCTTATGAAGTTTCGGAATCAAATATTTATAAGGTAGTTCAAATTCATTTTGGCTCTGTGGAATATTAAAAGTATTCAAAACTGACAGGTGATTTTTGAAGAATTTCTTCCTTAGAAAGCACAATTTTAAAATTGATGAATAACACCATTATAAAAGAATTCCCTAATCATTACCACATATTATGCCTCTACAGTCACGGGTAGCGTAAATATTTCTTGATAATTCTACCGGAATATAAATTAGGGAGGTCGATAGGCCAAGAGCTGAGGAAATATAATATGCATGCAACTCTCATGCGCATCTGTCTGTTTATTTGGCGCTAAGAAGGCCAAATACGCATGTAAATCTCGTGCGACTGCCTTTGTTTTTGACGTCAGTGGGCGAGAACATTGAAATTTGCATGGGAGTCCTCGTTTTAATTTAAGTTTATGTTCTACATTTTAAAGTCTAAATCTACAATTTTATTTCACAATGAAATGGTAATATAAGAAATCACTGTCTAGTTAGTATAGTATGCCAGGGACAACAATAGTGGGAAACATGGCATAATTTCTGCATAACGGGCTTTGTCGTTGATCGTTGATGCCCTGGCATACTATACTAATAAACAGTGATTCATTAAATAACATTAACCATTTTTTCCGAATCAATTGAAGCAACTTGTTAAAAGGATATTTCGGAAGCTTTCATATATTTTTGTTCTTTTAATGAATACCTGATATGGCGGCGCTCTATTTGACAAAAATGAGAACACAGGTTTGGAATGTGAATGGTTATTTAACAAATAAAACTATCTAAAACTGTTCCAAAGTAGTAACTTGTATATCAAAAGAGACTTTATATATCATGGCTTTATTGTGCATGATCGATATCAATGATTGCTACAAACACTTTTGACACTTCATCGCCACCATTGATATAGACCTTTACTAGTTTTCTAATCCAGATTCTTTTTGTTATCTACGGAGATGTGGTGGTAAGAAGTTACAATAAGTCTTCTCTATAATTAATTTTTTTTAGTTTTCATAGTTTTGTTTGATTATATTTTCTTTTAGATAGATTAAACAGTTCGTTATCTTCACAATCTAATTAAAATTAGATATTAGATCCGCTCGCATACTCGCTACACTTACATCTAACAGCATCTCATAGAGGGTCACGTCAGAGGTCAAATTCTATCAACCAATCAAATTGTCGCTGGCAAAATCATCGGATATATGTCGACGTAATCGAAGCGAATTACTCTAGAGTTGTTCCGAATTTGACCTCTGACGTGACCCTCTATGGGATGTTGTTAGATGTTAGTGTAGCGAGTATGCGAGCGGATCTAACATCTAATTTTAATTAGATTGTTATCATCACCTTTTTCATTTGTTGCAAAATATTATTTTTTAAGTTCGTGTAGAAAAGCTATACTGGTCCCTATTGTTAAAATCTTTGCTTTGAAATTATTTTTCGTGCAGAATTATGGTTTCAATAACAAAAAAGGACCACAGCGTTTAGTCGTGTTTTCTATTAAGATGTTTTTAAACGTTTATCATGAAAACTCTTTTGAGCAAATAAGGAAATCCTTAACACTGGGAATAGCAAACACTTTCATTTTATTGAATAGAATTTATAGCTTCCTTTAAATAAAAAATTAAGTTATACTTCCTGTACAAGGAACACGAGGAAAAACTGCTTTGTCTCTACGTAAAAGATTACATGTAGTTTAAGTTTTAAAAGGACCTTAAATTACATTTGTTTGAAAGCATTTTTATCATCTGCTGTAATGCATCATGTTCTTGTTGTGTTTGATTCCAAAAGCAAGTTCATCTATCTGCTTTCTGATAAAATGTTTATGTTTGTTTGTTTGTATGTTCTTTTACCTCCCTCTCAAAATTTTTTTGGAGACACAGCCACTTGCCGGTGGAGAGCTGCAAATTTTGTCCTATACTCGGCTTTCATTAATCGGAGAGGTGTCATTTTCGTGCCAGCACTTACTGCACCACGGGACCTCGGTTCATACGGTCTTATTCGAAAGATCGATCTCCACGTCCCACAGTGGAATTCAAACCTGCGACAAAAGGATCTACTCCTTACTTCTATATACTAGAGCAGAGGCTGTGCCACAAAGGCTACGAATGTTTACGTAAAATCTTTCCTATGAAAGTGTTCTTTTGATATTAAACTTTTTTTCGAGAATTTCTACTTTTGATGCATAAATTTTTCAATTAGTTAAGATGTCTTATTGATATGCAGGGAAATATTATTATGTTGATATCTTTATTAGTTTTATGCAAGGTCTAGTACATCAGCTAGTAACTATGTAATAGATTCCCTATACATTTTTTTTCTGACTCTTAAAACCTGGAACATCTTGCAAATTGTAAGACCATGACATTTTACTTTTTAGGTTTGTTGCTGACTGTCAACAGAAATATATCTGGTTGCCAATTTCTTTGATGACGAGGTGTCACCTTGCCGTCTATGAGATTGGTCTTTTCTGTGGACAGTGAGAAACGATCCCTTAAGTTTTAATTTCCTCGATCATAATAAGAGTTGCAAACATAAAAAGGGCCCCGTAGCAATATTTTTCAAAGCGATAAAGCTACACCCACACACACACACACAATACAATACCAAGCAGGAAAAAACAATTGATGTTTTAAAAAGGACACAAAAAAATAAATACCGGTATTGTCTCTTTTCAGTACAGGTTACTGGAGTAACAGGAAAGGAGAAAATGTTTGGCTGGACCGGGAATAGAACTCAGGACCCCTCCATCTCCAGTCAGATGCTCTACAAACTTAGCTATCCAGGCCGATATCCACTATCCGAACCATTATATTCCTCCCTCCTTAGGTTGTCTTCGCCCTCGAAGACTATTCTTATTACAAGCAACAAGGTTCTTCTTACCTCCTAGCAGAACTTTCACCTGCAATCTAGAGGTGGTCGACGGAAGCAAATCTTCAATAGGAGGGGAGAAAATGTATGTCTGGACCGGAAATCAAGCCCGGGACCCCTGCATCTCCAGTCAGGTAGTCTAGGAACTTAGCTATCCAGGCCACTAAATATATCTACGGCCCAAACCATTACACTGGTATGCAACGACTGAGTTTTTACTCATTGATTTACTAATAATCACATCTCTGAAATTTTTAATAACCATCTAAGTTTGTTATTTATACTAAGTAATGGTCAGGGCCATGGTAAAGGTAGATTAACACATTATTTTTTCGTAGGTATAACATAAGACAGATTTTCTTAAATTGTCAAATATGATTAATTATTACATGTACGCTAATTACGCATCTTGAATGAATTATTGTATACTATATAAGTTGGATTAAAGGGGGGACTCGCCTCATCGTAGTGGTACTGAGTGGTGATTATTTAGCAAAATTGAATAAAATCAAGCTTGTTACAGCATATATAATTATATAGTTTGCAGACTTCTAGATGAACAGGAAATTATAATATTGTGTAGGGATCTCTTAATCAATTGCAGTTTCATGATTCCATAATTAGCTTTTGATATTGAGAGAACAGATATGGCAATATGTGTAAAGTATTACCTAAAAGCTGTTATGTATTTGTGCTATTTATTTACTTGGCTGGAGAAGTTAATTTGAAAAACTTATCTAAAAGTAAGTATATCTCTTTTAATTGTAGTCTCTCTCTCTCTCTCTCTCTCTCTCTCTCTCTCTCTCTCTCTCTCTCTCTCTCTCTGAGAAGAGATGAAGCGGGAAATAGAACTAGTAAAACAAGGCAATTAACTCATGCATGAAACCATAGTATGTAACATATTTAAAATAATTAACAAACTTTTATTTTAGGTATGAACTGTAGCTTAGGACATGTAGGTGGACATTGCGAATTACCCTGTCGCTATCCATCCTACGGTAACTATTGTCAGAAAAAGTGCTATTGTAAAAAAGAATACTGTGATCACGTGAGCGGATGTCGAGGTATGCTAATTCAAATACATACAATTTGTATTATATAACAAAGACTTTAAATAATTCGAGAGGAGAATGGGGTTCTCTTGTTTGAATTCTTGAGGATCATGTCAAACACTGGCTTCATACTGGTGGATTTCAAATCTTCCTTAAGAATGTGAAAGCTCACTCAAAATGTTGACCAGAGAACGTTTTCTTTTTCTCCCAATTCATAAATGATCATGTATCTTGACTCTATTCTGAACAGTGGAATTTCAATGAAAATTATTTACATTGTTTACGATTTTCTTCCTATGAGATACATCTTTATAGATAAAAGCTTGTCAGGGTCAGTGTGGTCATTTGTATAGCGATTTTTTTTCACAGACTGCCAACCCGGTTCCAAAGGAAAAGGCTGTGAACATAACTGCACATATCCAAATTATGGTGTATATTGCCGGTCAACATGTGACTGCTTGGAAGAAGAGTGTGATTATATCACTGGTTGTGAAGGTGAGGAAAGAAATATATAAAGATGATCTTAAAATTACATCTTTCTTCGCTCGATTTTCGACAAGAAAAGAAAAACAGAAAAGATATGCAGAATTTTGATATTTGCAAATATCATAACAAAGTCTCTTTAACTGGTTGAGAAATATTATTTGATTTATTACATTAAAATAATTTCTTTTTAGCAGGTAAGACAAATGAATGTACCTTGACAAAAGACAGAAAAAGTTCGGAAACCATGCTTTCTGGAACTATCGTACTTGGTTTTATTGCAGTTATTCAGTTTATTTTATATGTATATTTGTCAATATTCTACAGACCTCAACCGCTGTACATAACACATTTTTGATATTTCATTTATTGTAGGTTAATCTGTACTTTAATTTGATTTCTGAGCATAAATTGTTCTTCGAACTATATTATATCAGATAGAATGATGTGCATCAAGGGTAGGACATTTATTTACATGTATTTTCACTGTATTTACGATTTTTTTAACAAGAATTTTAAATGAGATGGCATTCAAAACATATACTTTGAAAGAGGACATTTATGAATAAGCAAATAGAACAAATCAATAGAAATACAGCTTACTCCACTTATATTGAACTCGCTTATTTTGAAATTCCGCTTATTTTGAAATAGAAATAAATCCCCAGTTTTTGCTACTCATATTCTTTGCATTAAAATAACGGTTATATTGAAATCGGATATATTGAAATTTCGCTTATATTGAAGCCACTGATCGGTCCCCACAGGTGATAATGAGTTGTTTTCATAACGGTTATATTGAAGTAATTATGCCTGATTGACCAGTTGATATACAAAGGTGTGAATAATTAAGTTTTCACCTTATCTGTTTTTATACTGCATGCTCTTACGAAATAAAATTCTTCACTGTTAAATTCTTTGCGTCCACGTATATGATACGGACATATCGAGACTAAACATCTAAACGTAATATAGTACATGTAACCCCCACAGATCTAGGGAAAAAACATAACTTTGAAATTAAATACGTACTTTTAATGGCTATTGATATGCCTAAATTCGAAATAACTAAGGGGTTGATTAACCCGAATACACTTACGATGAAATACAAGCAGCGTTCAGCAGTACTCAACCGTTTAAGGCCGGTGTTTTTTTTTCCCAAAACGTAAATAAATGCGATCGGGGAATAATAACGGGGTTGAATTTTGTCTTTTCAATAAAATAGAAGTAAAAAAAATTAAATTTTCAAGGACTCATATTCTATGTAATCTGCTCACTGTTGTAGACAAACGATGACAAATCAATTTGTTCGGGTTTGTTCTTCTTTATTTTAGATCGGGATTGAACTTGTAAAAATGGCGGCTTCACGATTTCGCTTATATTGAATTACGGATATATTGAAATGATTTGCATGGTCCCCTGAATTTCAATATATCCGGAGTAGGCTGTATATTGAATCTAGAATTCTGGCGATTATAATTGATACATTTTTCATCTCTAATAGGTAGAATCCTTATTTCGTGAGATATTTTGTTCAAGACATTCAAAGCATTTTAAAAAGACATTTTTTGAAAGGTGTCCAATATATATTTTCTGTAGTTAATTCATAAAAAAGGAAAATGTTAGTTAAAACCATGAATACACATCTGTTTGTCAATAGGCATTTATATATTCTTAGAACAGGAAAATATAATGAAAATACGTGCTGTACATAAATGACATTTCCCGGAAAGAACCGCATTTGAATGACTGTGTCAAGTAGTTCTTAACACCAGGAGTTTATAGTAATTTAACATTGTAAAGACTGAAACGGACACATTTGTTTCATTATAGCATTAAGCTGATTCGTTTGAATGCTTATTGAAATGATGGACAATGTCTGTTTTAGGTGGAAAATAAAACAAAAATTCCTTTTAAGGCACTTATTGTCAATTTGACTTATTAACTGCTACAGGAAGAAGCATAGTTGCATGCAGTCAGCATATTTTATACGTATGAGTTTCGTCGTCAAAGGAGGGATTCCCCTCATAAAAATTTTTATATTTAAAAAGATCAATGAAATTTTACATTTAAGAGTGCAATATAAAATAATGATGATAGCATTTAATTTTATTATATTTAACTGTTTTATTTACGAGCAAAGTGAAGACAAGATCAAGATCATTTTCCTTATAAATCCATGAACTTATTGATGAAGAATAAAATGCAATCAATCATATGATGACTTCTTCTATTTCAAGAGTAATTTTTCATAAAAAGATTTCACCATGTAGAACATATTAGGTGATTTCATCTGAATTCCCTCTTCATGTATTTATTTCTATTTATGTTGTATGTGTGGTAGAACAAATTTACTATTATAATTTATCTTATGTATTTATTCGTTTTGGGATCATTCTATTTTTCGTTTCATCTTAAGTAATTTTAAATATTTTTTATCTTCAATTTCATTGGTCCATTTGATATTATCCAATAGTTTTAATTTACCTTGAGTATAAGTAACCGTTCAAACTAAGCAAAATTGGGCAGCATTACATTTTAAAGAAGATATTATATCCAGGCGATATCAGATGCATCTTGTCGTATGTATTTTTCATATTTAATTATTTGTTACTTTACTATTAAAGATTTGGGCTTGACATATTATTTTAATTGCGAAGTATCTATAATTTATTGCAAATCTTCTATGTGCATTAAAAATAACACTGATCTCTGCACTTTTCTCGTAGTTACATCCAGATCAAGAAGCACAATAGTTAATTAATTAGCAGTGCACCGAAGAGCAGCCATACAAAAAAGAACAAGTGTTAGGGTCAAAACCTTTACGGCCTTCATGTGTGTGAAACAAATATTTTTTAAAAGAAATTTTAGGAAGATTTTATTCAAAAACTGTTTTTCTAAATGAAATTTTCGTTACAGACAATATGGTAATTGCTCCTTTGAAAGATAAATTTAAATTGCAAATGTTACCGAAAATACTACATATGTTTGTAATACTTGTGGAAATGTGTATTCAGTATATTTAAAATCAATTTTAAATATCACACATTAACATTGCTCATATTGGCATTGTTTTATTCTTTTGTATGAATATCAAAACTTCATATCGAATAGCCACCTGGTGCATATCAAAGGAACGGACAGTGCATATCAAATGTTGATTAGGCACCAGGAATGGATCTAGAACTCATACCCATAGTTCCCAGAGAATAATTTTAGTAAATTGAATATATTCTGCTTAGTGTTTTCCAAAAGCTAGACTTTTAATCGAGTCAGTTTAGATAATTGATTATTCTGATTTTCCGATCTGAACAACCGACACACAGGTCGTTCTTGTAGTCAACACAAAAAGATATGGGATAAACTTGGTCATCTCCTGGAAGAGTGAATAGAATTAAAAAGTTGCCATCTTTGTCTAACACGTGAATTCCACGGTTGATTTCATCAGCGATTAGAATGTTTCCCTGAATATCTGTACATATTCCACTAGGAAGAAAGGGATTAGCCAATGATGCCTCCTTCCCAGTGTAGGTAAATCTAAGCTCTCCGTCTGACGAAATAACGTCTACTACGTCTGTGGACAGACATACGTCACCATTTATGTTCTCCGAAATGTATGCGCGTAGTTTGTTGGTTTTAAATATTGGTTTTGGAATCATTTTTTCCCATGAATGTGTTACGCGTTGAAGACATTTTCCTTTATAATTATATCTCAAAAGTGCTCCAACATTTTCTCGCACATGCACTGCTCCAATAAGAATATCTCCATTCCTCGCAAGGCACATGCACGCAGATGACAGAGGTGTTAAATCTATAAATGCCTTACTATCTGTATCAGCTGTACATGCATGTATTGCCGATTGACTTTTTCTAAATATAATCAGGCCTTCATCAGTAATACAGATTGGTTTGTTTTTGAAATATTGAATGTCTGTATTTATTTTTGCAAGACAGTTGCCTTTAATGTCGTAATTGATAAACTCTGGTGTGCCCCTTGAGAAAACCCAGTACGAACATACACTTTTGTTCAGGTGACTGCAAATGGACTCAATCGGCCCGTTGTCTATTGGTATCGAATGAAGTATTACCATGGTAGTTGATGACAATGGTCGAGCTAATACAAGATTAGAAATCTTTCCCACTATCTCTGAAATTGACTTTTTGTTTAAATCCTCATTTTCCTGGTGCAAGTATTTTATGATACCAGGAAACGGTAAAGCTGGACACACGTCTGGTATTGTAGAACCAAGAGAACAATTTGCATAGAGGATAAAGGAACTCCTCTTATGTATGTCATCGTTCTGAAAATTTGACGTAAAGTTTTTCATACTTTGAATGTGCGAAAGAAATTAATTCTTCTGAACGTTAAATATGTTTAAGTCAGATTTTTCTCTATCTTCAACATTTTCTTCAAGTCGTGTTTCAGTTTCTTTCAGGTATGATATCACTTTCTGAAAATGAGCATGAATTTCTTTCTTCACTTGTTCATTGTTCTCTACCTCTGTTAATTCTCTTTTAATAATTTTCTTCAGCGTTGCTTCGTATTTTGGTAGTTCTGTACAAACTGTAGATAACTTCAGTTCAAGTTTTTCCTTTTTCTTAGAGAACATTTCGGTAAAATCCATTAGTTTATGACCATTATGATCCCCAACAAGACTTTTTTCACAAACTGGCACTTCACATTCTTGGCAGGAAAATATTTGCCCGGAAATTTGGATGCCATTTGCAAATAAGATGAGATGGACATTCAGGAGACAAGGTAAGTGATTCATATGTTAAAGACACAACTTCGTGATCAAATGTTCCTTTACTTCTAGAATGGATATCCTTACATCTGTTGCACAATCTGTCATGACACGTTATGCACAAATGTTCCGCCGTACTTTCACAAGTGTCACAGTTTACTGGTGTCTGCATTTTGGAATTTGCCATTTAGATGAATCCGATATCCCATCTAAAGGTACAACGGGTAAAACATTAAAAAATATATTGTCAATCTAAGAGGGACAATGAAAATCAAAAACAATTACGATATCATTATGAATAATTGATGTAGCAATGTTACTTATTATGCATTTTTATGTTTTTTAATAAGTTTACATAAATAGACATTCTTTGTTAAGATTTTCGTATTAAAGCACGATTATTTTCATAAAAAAATTACCTATTCATCATTTGTTTAAGTATTGCACTGGTCCTGAGATGCTATAATCTTTCGACGAAAAACCGATATCAACTAGTCTACAAACAAGCTGCCATTAAAAGCACGGAGTCGTTACCGGCTGTTACGTCCCATATAATTTATAAATATGGGAGCGCATCAGACACCCAACTAATGTTTTTTTTTCGATTTCATGGTCTTGGTGGACAAATACCAAACGTTTTCATATAGACTTCCATACAAACTTAAACCACTGTCACTTATACATATATCAAATTTTGGGCAAGTTCTTGATTTGGAAAACAAAACATGCCAGAAAAAATATACCGTACCGTTGTACCTTTTCTTTCAATTCCAATTATAAACAACTAAGTGCGTTCACCACCAAATATGAATGAATATCTCAAACCAAATTGCATCCCTCCCTTCAAATTTTTACATGTAACTCCTGTCAAACACATTACAAGTCTTTTCTCTTATTGACAAATCACGAGCCAGTAGCATTTTCTCCTCCGCACAACTTGTCCAAAATGTCTGCGCACATGTTTTTGTTTATATAGGAGTTTTCCGATAGAGTAATAGAAACATTTATAAAAAGTGGTCAATTTAGTGTGTTTAGAACACATATACATTGGTTATCTCACCTCTTTCAAGAATATTGGGACTGACAGTCCTAGCTTTAGAGCACCATTGGCTGTTACCTTTCACACCCCATTCAATCAGACCCACATCTGTGAAACAGAAAAGATGTATATAAACTGAAGCATGTTTCTCTCATTTTCTCTTATTTTTCTTTCAAACTTTTTAAATGAAATGATTAATCTAGCATATGTTTTGCTTGTTTTTCTTATTAATTATCTCTCATAATCTCTCAAGATAGATCATGTTTATCATTCAGGGCAGCAGACATCCGTTATTAATGAAAAATAAAGAAAATCAACAGGTGCTTGTTAGAAATGCTGAATTATGGAAAGAGTGAAAACTATTGTAGATAAAATAATAAACGGAGAGAAAGAAAATTATATCTAGTGAAAATGGACATAAGATTAAACAGCAATGGGTTGCTGGCATCAGGGAATAAAATACATCCCCAATGAAATTTTTGTAATTTTGCAATTTTGAAGGGGGTGACCTACATTTAGCCAACTTTCATAAACATTTCATGTAATTGATGTGAAATACGTCTATTCTCATAAAAGGCAAATATATTCGTTTGTATATCATGTATTATTGTTGACATAATTAATAAATTGATTAAATGCCAAGGGCAGATGAATCACACTGAATACAGCGCTCAATTGTAAGCAAAGTGTTTTAATAACTGCAGTTCTAAAGAAATTTATTTTCTAATGATCAATTGAAAGTTCTAATGTTCTAAATAAGTTACCTATTAAGAGATTAACTAGATTTTCTAAGAAAACCATACCTTGGGACTCTTATAAAAATTTAAGCAAAGGGATCATCCTGAGAGTGTCCATGGGTTGTTCATTGTAAGAGGGAAGGGTTCATTAATCTCCTCCTTCTTGAGAATGCATTGCAGAAATACATTTTATTTTATTAAAAAATACTGATAAATGAATGTAGTAGTTTATATCATATTTTTTTTAATTATTCACACTATCTTTTGAATTTTATACAAGCATTTGTGATGTAATTGCTTAAAAATGATTAAATGTAAAAAGAATTTACTCAGATAATTATTTTAAAATTATCTGAGAAATTGAAAAAAAACTGCAGATAAGCATGACTCTTGTTGTTCAAATAAACCACATTTTAAAAATATTCCATCATTTTTCAGTATCATTATTTAGAGCACAAAATGACCCACCCTTTCTGCAGAATATCAAGATTGGATGTGGCATGGAAGAGGGATATTCTGACACTTTTTTCATCATTTTTTCACTTGTAATTTTGCATATTTCTTGCATTTTCAATGTATTGTACAGTAATTTAAATTTAATTTCTTACTAGTAATCTCTAAGTTTCACCAAAAGTATGACTTTCATTTTAACCCAGCACTGATTACATGACTGAAATTGGTTTTGCTTCTGGACTAGACCCCTTATATAATAACAAAGTAACCTAATTAGGTAACATCAGTCAGATTTTGTTATGAATTATTCAATCAAATCTGATTAAATCAAATTTGAAAGAGGATTAGTCAATCTGTTCCAATGTCTGCACTTATAAAATACATGGACTTAAATGAATTTTACAAACTACAAGGGGGATATTCATTTTTTGTGCATTGATGATGCCAATAATTATCAATATTGTATTATTTACAATATTCGCAGTAAATTTCAGCATAAATATTAATTTAAAATTATTTATATTAATTTGAAAACATGAGAGCTAGGGCAAAAGTTTTGGCATTTTTCTCCAGGCGCAGTCCCCATTGTGAGCCTCAAATTACCCAAACCCTCTTATTTTTAAACAAATAGTAAAAACTAACAAAAGTATAATCCCAATGCCAAAAAATTAGGAACTGATTGATTTTTGATCTGTAATCAATGATTATCCATGAAATACCGGTACTCACCTATTCTATGGGACAAACGCCACCAAATGTTTTCCCATATGCATCCATACATACTTGAGTCCCTGCAACTGATACATATATTAAATTTTGGGAAAATAATCTTTTTGCAGTGAAAGTTCTAGATATTGGAGAAAAAACATGCCAGAAAAAATATACCGTGCCCGTTGACTTTTATTTTCAATTTCATTTGTTTACAACTCGGTGCGTTCACCACCAAATGAAAATTTTATATCAAACCAAATTGCATCACTCCCTTCAAATTTTTACCTGTAACTCCTATACATCTTAAAGAAGCCCAAATCTTGATATGAGGTTTTTTATCAACTTTATTTCACTTGTCAAATACATATTATAAAATAGTATGATATTCCAAAATCGAGAACCCAATATATGTACATCAAGTGAAAAAAATCAATTTAAAAAACTTTTTAACTTGTCTGATATTAACAAACCTGTACGGAATATCTACTGTTGACTTTTGGAATTGCATAATTTTGCTTTGAAGGCGATAATGACTAACTCTCTTAAAAGTGATTTTCTAAATTAAAGTTCTTTTTCACATTTAACCATTGTGTCAATGTAAGATGATTACTTTTAAGAAAAATTTTAAAGATATTTGCTTTAGTACTTAGTATTTGTGTAGTGTTGTCTGTAATTACTTTATCTATAATTGTGTAACTTTCATTCTTAACCTCAGAGCATCAAAATTACAAAGAAAAGATTCCCATAATTTTACCCCACTGTAACAGAGGCCCCACTGCTTTAACCCTTTCTCTTCCGGCGCATTTCACCTGATTTTGGAGGCCTTTTGATATGGCATTATTAAATTATTTCTAACTTTTTTATCCAAGGGGAAAGCTAGGCATAATGCATACCATTTTGTAGGAAATTTCTTACATATGATATTTTATGACTATTTAGATACTCAACCACTGACCTTATTAGTAAAAATTGAGGTCAAAGGTCAATTAAGTGCAAAATTTTATGGAATTTTTTGATACTTTTTCATCTTTAAGCTAAATATTAAGCATGATGTACATTGAAATAGGAAATTTGGGATATACCCACAAAAGAGCATTATACTGTACTACATGAAACACATAAACTTTTTTTTCAATTCTGCATATAACTACTTAAAAGGGGTTGCTAAGCAACGCAGAATTCTTTAATTTTCGGGCAGAAATTTTCATTTTTTACTCATCCTAGACATATTTATGCATCCCAGCACATATAAAAGTTAGATGTGAGGTCATAAAATTATAAGGGACATACAACAGATAAATTGTCTTAAAGCTTGACCTCATTAGAACTATTTTTAGGAGGTCAAAGGTCAAATAAGTGCAAAAGTTTCATCAATTTTTTCCAACACTTTTCAATATTCTTGCCATAATTTTACACAATGGATGCTGAAATGGAAAATTCTGAATATACTCTCAAGAAGGGATCAGAACTGCAATATCCATGCATCATTTTAGTTCAAATATCTGTTTAATGACCTTTAAGTGGTTGCTAAGCAACATCATTTTAAAGTTTTTTGCTATATACATGTTTGTTATTTCACATTCTGGACAAATTCTAGACACTTTTTGTATATTTCATGATATTGTTTGTAAGATATGGGCCATAAAGATGAAAGAACATTTTTGTATTAAAAATTGACCTTGACACTCTTGTTCTTCAGGGGGTCAAGGTCATATCAGTACAGAATTCTGCTTTAAACTGTAAGTAAATATCAATTTTGAAATGCTTCAAACATGGATAAATCATCTAATAGTTGACGTAATAAAAATGGCGAATGACAAAAGTCTGCAAGCAAAGAATTCTGGTCTGCTTCTTACAAAGCCCTAGCAAAACATGTTTACTATCTTTTTGTTAAACAAGAAATCCATTCTCTTGATGACATTAAAAATAATCTTTATTTTCATGGATTTAATTTAACAAGAAAAAAAAACTAAATGATTTCATTACAAGATTTTTCTGGTATAACAGAGCTTAAGGGGTACAATAAAGACTTGACATGTTATCTTGGAGGGAAATAATAATAATAGATAGCATTGGCAATATTTAATGCAAAACTGTTTAGTCAATAAGTTGAAAATTTGACGCTTATATCCAAATATACAAATACAGAAATATTGCAAGATGAATTCCAAATCAGACTGAAATCTTCAACAAAATGTTGAAGAGCACTTTTACTTTGTGTCCACCATTCTTTTATCAACTGTCATTTCTCTGTAAGAGCGGAGGAAATTCTTTGACTTGTCCAAGACATTATTATTTGCTGTCAAGTACAAGTGATCAGCTTCTATCCTGTAAAAGATTTAAGTATTTTGAAACAGATACATGTCATTGTGTATATAAATTTATATTTATAAATAAAATTAAGAATGCTAAAATTACTACATTTATTTGATTTTCCTTTGAAAATTAAAATTGTATTCATTATGTGATCCAAGTAGTTAAATGATATTGTTAAGTCAATGTATCAGGACTGATAATTCAACAACCTTGTAGTAAACCATCATGGTAAAATTACTGAACTAAAACAAATAGCATATATGGCAATCTGACTAAAGCCAGACCTCTGTTTACGCTATCGCAACATGTAAAAAAAAATCTGGCATTAGGCCATGCAAATTTAATTACTTGGTTCTCAGGCCTTTTTTCAAGAAATATGATGAGGGAGGGAGGCATTTTTTTTTCTTTTTTATTGCCCCCAAAACATGATGAGGCAGCTTTTTACATTGTACAAAACCTCAAAAAATGATGAGGGAGGTGATTTGGTGTTTATATTTTATTGATTTAGCAATAAAAAGGGTCAATGAGGCACCCTTGGAAGAGATGAGGGAGGGCCTGAGAACCAAGAAATTAACATTTTTTTGCCTTAGATTGCTACGAAAGCCAGGAAGGGACACGTAAATTTTTCAAAAAAGTAAAAGATGATATCGAATAGAATTAGACAATCTAATCTCACAGATTACTAAATTGTTCCCTCGATTTATAATACGAGATCTCGAATTACACAATCCGATCTTAAGGATTACTAATTCGCCCCCTTGATTCATTATTTGAGATCTCGAATTATCTACCGGTAATTTGTTTTCACAGATTGATAATTCAACATCTTGATTTGTTACAACGTCAGTCTTATGATTTTGGAAATCTGTGCTCTTGAATTTCATTACATATATGTACAGAAACATCCAACCATTTTAATCAATAAGTGCGTTCTATTTATTTTGTTTCAGCAACCGGTCGTTTCCAACCTCTTTCATAACTAATTCAACGTATATTTATTTTAGAAATATTATGATTACACAGGACCCATATTCACTTTTACTATCTAGGACTTTCAATTATTCTAATATATAATTAACACAAAAACTTCTAAGATGTTTTGTTGTACAAATATCAGTACTAGCACATGGATTTGAAAATGTTCATGTATTTTTCTCATTTTGGACCGTAATAAGTAATAAAAGTTAGGATGTAAAATACTACAATATTCTATTTTTTAAACATGTATTACCATATCCGATATGTACAGATAAATAATTTAAACGAAATCATGGGAAGGGTTTACGTTCCGAGGGAATGAATCTTTTAAACTAAAAGAATGAATTATACAATCTGAGATAACGGACTGTGTAATTTGAGGGAACAAATTGGTAATCTGTGAGAATGAATTGGCAATTTGTTATAACAGATTGTCAATCCGAGAGAACGGATTGTATAAATCAAGAACTCGGTTTACTTTTATAAATTTTAAAAATTCTATGTCCCTTCATGGCTTTCATAGATTTCATACCTGCATGGTTGCCAGGGTTGTAAAAAGAAAGGAGACAATAGACTGCAATGTTACTTCAGGGCAAAATTCCTGGCGCAAGGCTGTTCGTGAGCATGGGAGTGTTGATAAACCATCCAGTGAGTTTGACCACCCATGTATATGATGTAGGATAATTGGAAAGTGTCTGAAAAATTGAGAAAATGGAAATTCTAACCACATACTTTATGCAGATTGGAAATACAACAGCATTCTAAAAAAAACAGTTTGTTCCATATCTCGGCATTCATTCAGATAGATATTACATGTTTAAATAATGTGTCTGTATGAATAATCAAGCATCATAAGTATTATGTGTTTCAAACACTTATTTTTCAAAATATAAATCAAATGTTTATAAACTTGTATGAATGCGATATCATGAGAATGACACAAATGAAATTAGACTTTATTTTTTTAAATTTTAGAAATACAGAAATTTTCAATACCAAAACAAAAATTTACCTGTTCATTGGTGTCCTTACATATTAATTGACCTTCGTAGTTCATGGTGGGCTTAGAAAGTGGGTATTCACAGATGAAAGTATTGTTGCATACATGTATGCTGAAAGCACCCTAAAATTTCAATGTGAAAGTGGTACATGTACACCTGTACACACTGGTACATAGATACTGAAAACAACTATCCATTATTATGACAACTTTGATTTTACTTTTGAACTTACGAGTGATTGTCAAAAGCATCAAAGTTCAAAAGCAATGCAAAATTGGCTGAACGATACGAAACACGCACACTGAAACATAAACTGATAAAGATCTAGTACATTGTGTACATTTAGTTTTCTTTTGAACGTGAACTATTGCGTTTTAAACTTAAACTTTTCAGTCAATATACACGTATTCTCACCTGCTAATACCAAAGGCATGTCCGTATTATTTGATTCATTGATGTGATGATCTTCGTCGTGAAATAATCATGAAAATTGACGTTCAGATTTCGGATCACCATCATGTTTACACCAAAGCGGAAACACCTGTTTATTTCAATATTCGTATCAACTCATACAGTGATGAGTCGTATTTATTTATAAATGCGAGTTTTTGTATTGTTAAATATAGATCTAATTAAATTGCAAATTAATAAGTATACAGTATAACAAGATACAATAATATTAAAAATCTGATTGATTTTTTTTTTTTAAGTAAAGATCGACGTTTTGGAATTCTACAATTTTTTTCAATATTGTACATGTTGTATATCACTTCATGAAATATACATCATTACATGCAGATGAATAAATCAACATTCACTTCACAAAAGGCAGAACGAAAGTATATATTTGTTTTTTGAAATCTATTGTTTTTGTATTATGCATTTATTTCAGTAAAAAATATATTTGAATGGTCAAAAAAGTCTTATAAAAGAATTTGTTGTTTCGAGTAAGACGCAACAATATCCACCTTGACGTTACATGTAAATATTGACCGATTTTTCCATAAAAACTATGCAAAGGTCACAAATTCAAATTATCGTAATTAAGAAAATACTTAGCGTAAGAAGGCCTATAAGGGCTTGTTGGAAAGGAAATTTTCTCTACTTTTACCAGCTTTATTTTGTTTTCCCTATTTCAACACAGAAATAAACGTAAAACTGAGCTTTGTTTAAATATTACGAATAAAATCGATAAAAAACACATAAGTGCAAGAAAATTCTTGTTTTTAAAATATACCTTAAAGTAATAACAATAATTTTTACATATTTTAAAAGTAGAGAAAATATTCTATAAGAATATACCATGCTTTCTTAAAAAGTTACTCAGGAAAAAAATTGTCAATCGTCTGGAAATTCGGCAATCGCTTTGGAAAATTACGCCATTTTCAAAAAGTCTCGTTTGTCTTTACAACGTAAAATCGATCAAATACCGGCAATCAAGATATAATCTTTTTAGATATTTTAAAAGTCGAGAAAATTTCCAAAAAGATGATATATAGCTTATATACCTTCATGCTACCACAAAATAGATACGGAGATCTTATTTTCGCGAAGTCGTGTTTTAACGCGCCACCGGTCAATTTGACCGGTACGGAAGTGAAGGGGTTAATTTGTTATGGTACCAAGTACTGTACCAAGTATTCATCTATCCAATGTTCAATTACTTGATTTTTTTTCTACAGTTCTAGGGTGAGAGAATTTAAAACGATATTCCACCAGCAATAACTGACAAATCATCTGCAGCAATCAGCGAGAGCTGTTGAAAAAATGTTCAAAATGATTCAAACTTTAAAATTCCTTTTCTCTTTTACCATAATCAGGCAGGTTTTAACTACGAATGTTCAATATTCCTGGTCAGAAAAGGTCTTAGAAAACCCAACAACATCCTGTAGACGTCTTGCGACTTTTTCGCGTCCAACCAAGTGCCTGGCAGCGTGCCTTAATTCCTACGCCGTACTTCATGCCGTGAGCTGGGACAAGGCGTCACTTTCGTGTGTGTGCTGCCCTAGTCCTTTATTGGACTCTGAGGTGGCAATGCCAGGGAACTGGCAGACCTACGTCGGCGGTAAGACAATTTTTTCCTAAGAAAAATATTAAAACCTTTTACTAGTATTTCACAAATAATTTAAAATTAAGACTATTCAGTGTTGCTGTTTTTTTAATTAAGTTATTAATTATCTAAAAACATGTATATATGTACAAATTTAGAAAACAAAACAAAACTCTAGGCAATGGCATTAAAGGAAGATTCCTTTGTTCATTTGACAGTTTTGGGGAGTTTTTTTCGTTATTTATTACTGGTATTACTTCTTTAATGTAAATTTTATACATTATACTTTCATAAAATATAAACATTAAAGAATGGTCAGATATTTTCCCCTTCATTTGGATATACGGTTTCCTGTGATACTGGAAGTGTTCAGTCAAAATATCATAGTAAATTCAAAGTTTATAACATTATCATACTATGTGTTTCAAAGTTTAGATTGCTTAACGATTAATAGCTGCAGATCTGTAGTACCACCCATTGTAAATACTGATAAATTGAATAATTATTGCGCACAAGTTTTGCTTAGTTCTGGATTAATTATTCCAACTTCTTACCTTCATCGCGAAAATGAAAGATTAAAAAAATCCCCTTTCTACTCCTCTATGAAGTACTCTAGTGGTTGACATCTGCACGAAGTGTTGGACCGAATTATCTTGCAAACCAAAATTGCAGTAAAAATAGACGAAATTTTCGATGTTCTCAATTTCAGGGCCAGGAGGGTTATTAACAACAATTGTAAGGAATGTTTTGTTATAGAAACTGAGAAAGAATTTGTTAGCAACACACGATTGATAATATTTTGAAACATAGATCTAGAAATTTCCTGATATTAACCTTTCTTTTAGCTCACCCGAGTTGGAGCTCAATTGGGCTTTTCTGATCACCCATTGTCCGTCGTCCGTCCGTCTGTATACATTTTACATTTGAAACTTCTCAAGAACAACTGGGCCAATATCGATCAAACTTGGTACAAATTATCCTGGGGGTTTAAATTGTCAAAATGAAGGGCCTAGTCCCCCTACAAGGGTGGGTAATCAAGATAAGACAAAAAAAGAGTGGGGTCATTAAAAAAATTGATTTTTCTTCTTGCGATTCACTTGGCCAGAAAAGCTGAAAGTTATGTGTTAAATTCTAAATTGTTAAAATCGTAACCCCGTCGGTAGGACGGGACCAACAAAAAGGAATCCATTTTTTTATTGAAATATATCAGAAAAAACTTTAAAAATCTTCTCAAGAACCACTGGACCAGTAAAGCTGAAACTTATGTGGAAGCATCTTTGGATAGTGTAGATTATAAATTGTTAAAATCAAGAACCCACTGGGGTAGGGCGGGCCACTATAGGGAATCTGGTCAAGAATAGCATTGCCAAAGTTACTCAGGTGAATGATGTGGCCCATGGACCTCTAGTTCTATTTTTTTTGTATAGAAGAAATAGTTCGAAGATGTCAAAAAACGGACTGGATTTTTTTTTAGGTCAGTCTGTTTAATTTGATCACTTAATGTTACACCAAAGGCTTAAGCCTTTTTCATGATTTTTCTTAATTTTGAGATTTTTGGCTAAATCACTAATTAAAATGCTAATCACTGTTATAATGCATGAAAAATTGTTGCTGATTATTAAATGGTTCTCTAATTATTTAACAATCAATTATATAACATAAACACTAACACATGTAAATGTGCCGTTATTGAAGCTTCTGATTTGGTCTCTGACTGTCTGCTTCTAAAACCAGCAATAAATCACTGTGACCACTTAGGGAATTCTTCACTAGCCACACAGAGGTTATCAGTAATTAAACTACAGAGACTCTAGATTTAGGGAAGGAGATCTAACAGGTCACTAATGACCATGAAATAGGAGATGGAGCTTAGCTCTTGCCATTTTACCGGTAAATCTTTCTGATTCAGAATTGTACCTATTTTACTTCATTAAAAGCACCTAAATAAAGAATAGAACATCCCATTCTTGTGAATATGCATAGGAAATATGGGTAAGTGACAGTTTCCAAAGCTGAATCTCCAAGGTGTGATATATTTCTAGCTTTGGCAGAATTTGTTGTGTAATGGGTTTTTGCCCTCTACTGTAAAGTAAGAACAGACAGTTGGTGGTATTATTTCAAAGGATTCAGCATCCCTTATTTAACGAACAATTTCTCTGAAAACTGGCCAGAATGTGTCTCAAATGTGTGTTCACAAAACCGTATCTCAGATGTTTTGATACCTTGCTCAATTCTTGAATTATTAGGGGAAATGTAGAATTTGGCTAATAAAGGACAAGATAGGGTAATAGCAGTATTTGGCCCCCAAGTTTGGGTGTCTTTCAGAATGAACCAATAGTTTATCCATAAAACCCTGTTGTCACCCCTGCCACAAAATGAGTAATGGTTTTAAGATTTAGAATATACAGGGGTCACAGTGAGGTCAGGAAATAGGTCAATTTTTGACATTTCTCATTTTTATGCAAATTTTCTTCAATTTTACAGCACATTTTCTTTCGGAAAACATAGAGCACACACTTGCCTATCTACCAAATTTATATATTTTATACAATGATACCAGATGCAGTTTAGGTGTAAAAATCTCAGATAGGCAAGCTTGTGCTCTATGTTTCCCAAAGAGAAATATATCCCAAATATGATGAAATTCCACCAGATTTGGGGAAAATCTGGAAAATGCCCTATTTCTGCGCCATCTAGTGGCTTTCATGTAAGCTTTGAATCAAAATTAGTGCTTGTATTAAAGTGAGGATCATTTTAACTTCTGAACTACAAACTATCACAGTTCTACCATTGTTCTGATTTTTACATCAAATAAGGAGCCAGATTCGGCTGTTACCCTATCTTGTCCTTTGTAACACTGAAGGACAAATGGATGTAACTCTTGAATAAGAAGATTTGTCAAAAATCTTAGATACAGTTTTAAAGTTCAATCTTTAATCTACATTGAGGCAAAATTTTGACTTTAAGGGGCGGAATACAAAAAAGTTGATTTATAAAATATAAATGCACTAATATTTACATTAAAATATTTATAATTTTTTAACAAGATAAAATTTAAATTACGACCATTAAATAGCGTTTAACAAGCTTTCAAATGATATATGCGTTTAATATGTTATCTTAGTTAATGAGAGAATTACTATCAAATTAAATTTTGTCCTTTTGAAACGTTTGGTGTATCCTTAAACTTAATAATTGTGGAGCTAGTTTCTTGTCATATAAAGCTTTTCTGGTCACGTTTTGTCTTTGTAAGGTCTTAGGAGCCACAATGAAAAGTCATCAGATTCACTCTTTTAGCATACAAAAAATGTAGAGTGAATAAACATTTTATTAAACCATCTTTTTAGGGGTATAGTAGGACCAAGGTGACACAGGAGAAAACTGTGGCATTTGGTATTCTAATTATAAATAGAATAGATCATTCCAAGCATTCAGCATTTTTAAAGTTGCCATCTTAATGCAATTTAAATTCTCCAATCATTTTTATTTTCCTTAGCTTTGTCAATCCCCCCTAGTTTATGTATACATGTAATTTTTTATAAAGGGACGTGCCTACTTGGGTACGAGCTCGTTGCCCCCAGTACCTGCTTTAGATACAACTCCACTTCCGTCAACTATCCAGTGGCCGACGCCCAGTGTAAGACCGAGGGAGGAGCCCTTATTAGAATAGACTCTGCCGAAAAGAACTCCTTGTTTACAAATTTTGTCGGTAAGTTATTATTTTTAAGAAGTACTCATCACAGCCTCCTCACAAACAAACAAACACACCCTCACACACCCACACCCACACACACCCTCACACACACACACCCACACACACCCACACCCACCCTCTCACACACACACACAAGCACTAAAAAACCAACAACACTGTATATCCTAAATGCCGGATCTACCAAGTAGATACAAGGTTACGGATGGAAATTTATATAATGCACTAAAAATGACCAACGACACGAACAATAAAAATTGTGAAATTTGTGAATTGTTCGTGTCGTTGGTCATTTTTAGTGCTTATATATATATATATATATATATATATATATATATATATATATATATATATATATATATATATATATATATTCATGGTAAGCTAACAATTTATGACATAATTAAGAATTAACATTTCTTTCTTAGAAAACCATGTTAATGACACTTCGGTAACAGAGGTATGGGTCCAGGCCACAAGAAAAGGCTTACTCTGGTATTTTGATGACAACACACTCATGGAATTCGATAATTTCGGAGTTGGTGCAAAGAGTAACGGAAAATTTGAAGTCAGAGCTAGGGCAAGAGGTGCACTGCTGTGGAAATGGCAAGACGATTTTAACTTTAGCAAATTCGATTTTGTTTGTGAATCAAAGACGGTGCTACATTGGACGACTAACGGGATAGATGCAGTGTGAATAACCTAAATCATGACAATGGAAAGAATGAATTTAATGGGATCCAACCGACTTTCCTTTGCCATTTATATGAATAAAAGGGATTATTCACCAAGTTTCGAATTTTTAATTCACATTTTAAAAATCTATTTATACGTGCTTGTCCTCTTACATGAAAAACAGAAGTCTCTGTCGAGACTTTAGGTCATATAACAAAGGAAAAGTAGCAGGTGGACTTGAAACTTTACAACAGTAATGAACAGAATAATGATTGTTGTGCTTTTTTTGGCAATATTGCAGTAAGACTAGAAATGTAGGAGTAACTAGTCTTTTAAAAGAATTTTACAGAAATTAAAATTTTACTTACCATGGCAACATCATTTTTCAAAATAAAAAAAAAGCAATTAAATGAATTGTGTATCTCAGTGTAGACTACTTGAATGTTGCATTATATTAAAATCAGTTCAAAACTGTAGGACGAGTAGCAGTTGGAAAGTATATCAAATAAATTTCTATTTTTAGTCACCACAGCAACACCGTTCATTGAAATTAAAAACCGAAAATTAAACAAAAACAGTGCCGTAGCTAGACTCAAAATGAAGTGCATGCTAAAATTGGCAAGGGGTTTTTGGGCCGCCCTGAGGTCCCCAGTGGGTCCAGGGCAAAGCCCTGGTGGGGGCCCAGGGGGCGAAGCCCCCGTAAGCTCCTGGATTCTGACGATTTAAACACTCATAAAATCATTAAATAAAGTTAAGAAAATGAATGTCTTGACACCGTTTTATCATTAGAAATAAAACCAAGGGGTCTTTATGATAGTAGTCTTGGCGAGATCCATATAGAGGCACCAGACCAAAATTTTTAGTCTCTACTGATCTCACTGTGATTATTATAGTAGTAGAGAGACGTCTTTTTCTATATCTTAAATCTTAAAGTTGAAGAAATACAGGCTATCGTAGTTTATTAGTATCATTTAACTAAATTGGTGATTTTTTTGGCAAGTACAAAAAGTTTTGGCAATGTTTTTTTTTCAAAAATTATTAGAAAAGTCGAGAAAAACCAAGAAAATTAGGGTTACTGTTTCAGATAGTGGACAAATATAAGCCGATAGCTTTAGGCCACCAAAGGTATAATAATTTTTTTTAAGTTGTCCAGAACAATTTAATTACATTCACGAGATATATTAAATCAATTGTTCTATTCAAACCTAAAATTTAATTTGAGTTGAGAAAATTAAATAATTATACGGTTTATCCACATTCATAATTTTATGAGTTCAATGTAGGAAAGACTGCATTTATTTTCATTAAAAAAACGTGTAGAATAATTAGTAAAAGTACATGTATTGCAAAGAAATCTAAAGTGCACTTTCAATTATTTTTACATTAACTAGAGCCGAGCTCGTTGCAAAGCAACGAATAGGTCTTCCGTTGGAGCTACGGATAAGAAGACGTAACCTTGAGTCTAGGTCAAGCCACATTCTAAAGTTCTACAAGTGAAAATTTAAACCTTTTAAGAGAAGCATCTTGCAATGTTTAGCTATGAAAAAGACTGTAAAGGAACATATGTGACCTTGAACTTTCCAAGTGACCTTGAACTCTCCAAATGGCCTTGATCTAAGCAATGACTAGCTC